TTATTTGTTTCAAATTGTAAAACCGTGCCATACACTGAACGCTCATAACCATTTCATACTCTGTACGCTATTATAAATACCATTACTATACTTTATTGTTTACTTTACATGTAGTTTTATTAAATAAAGTTACACCTGCGTAAGTTTGTTTGTCTGACTGAGTAAACTTTTTTCAAATAGGACTAGGATTTATCGATCTAACATATAATGCCTACAATAAAGTGTAGCTTAAATGCCGTGCTTGAAAATGATAGAATAAGGAAAATTCAAGAGAAGAGCATGAAAACTACCGCAAATGTTTTGCGGGTCGCGGCTAGTCAAAAAATAATCTCTAAAAAGTGTGTATACGTTTGAATAATGAAGATTACCAGTCTTAATATGACGAATTTCTTGAAAATTAATTTCACTGATGAGGCAAAAATAAAAACTAATAAATAGTTAAACTATAGTTTAGTTAAAGAATAAAGCGAATAAGCATCCAAGGGTGGAGGTAACAGAGAATCTAAGAATGTCCGTTCGAGGAAGAAGCAAGAGTAAAATCTGAAACATTAGGCGAGAAAAGTTAAAATAGCATAGAAAGATGGCTAAGTTTAAACAAGTTAATCCACGTTATAATACAGTTAACCTTCAAATCTCAATAAAATAAAGTATAGAATATAATGCTGTTTTATGAAACACTAGATTAAGTCTCCGCTTTGAAATTCTAGACATCACGAGGAAACAAAATTAAATCATCAATATTTTTTGATAATAATAGATAATGAAAGAATTTTCAAGAACATTTTTACATCTTTAAAAAATATTTGATACAAGCTCTAAAATTATAAAATAAATAATGTATCAAGATTCACTGGACTTGTGGTCTTGTGCACCCATAATCAGCGCTTTTTCTGTCCCAAAGCAAGAGCCAGAAAGATACCTTCCTCTTTTTCCTCATCATCACTAGAACTCCAGTCCACCATCTAAATCTGTTTGACTGTATTGGTAGGGCCATGTTTTGTTTTAGGAATCAACACCAGTACGCAGTTCTCGCCTGTCCACCAGTTCCGCGGTATCACACCTCTCTTGCTCCCCGTTAGCGGTGCTGTGCCGCTGTTTTGTTTCATAGGCTCAATACAGCAAGATAGCTCAAGACAGAACTATTACCATACAGAAGTACACTACGATTATACTTATTATTTGGTTGCACGTAAGACAGTGTTGACGGTTAAAGATTTTATATGATCAACGCAAAGTCTGGAGAGATAATTCATAGATGCTCTCTGCCTTGATAAACTAAACCTAATCCACTACTTAAAAAGAAAAAAAAGACCTCGTAAGTTGTAGTGCAATAATCAGAAGTTTCAATAACAAAAGACCAGGCGGATATAATAACGAACAAGATGAATGAAAAACACATGGTATACCTAATTTAACAAAGTTGAAATAATGCTATTTATAAATTCATTCTGCCACTTGTTGACTGATACTTATATGGTTTATAGAAAACAAAAGTGAAAATATTTACACTAATCTGCTTCCTTTTTATCATCAGAATGCATTACTTTTATACATTATATGCGAATATCGTTCCATAGCTTCTTTTCTAATTGATGATTGGACGACTTAGCCCATGTGATCAATAAGTAAAAATATTATAAATATGTAATTTTTTTAGAACTTTATGCTTGCAACTAGATCATTACAAAGTGACTCCAAGTTTTTCTCAAGCGCTTTATGATAGCAAATAATTTTGAAATTGTAATTGAAAGTAATAGCATATGCCTTAACATAATTTTATAAAAATCAGGAAAATAACTTTGTGAAAACATACTAACACAATCAGGTTCTTTTTAAAACTGAACAAATGCGAGAATGTACAGTTTTGTTCTAATTAAATACAAGGTAATGATATTGAGGTGTTAGAGTGGCATTTAATATTCAAACCACAGTTCTAAAACACGTGTATTTTTTTACTATATAAGCCATATGAGTGTTCTTCAGCCATATATTTGGTGAGGTATTGCATTATTTGCTATAAAAATATAAAAGTTCTATTTAGTAATGAGTTCATATCTCATGCAATTATATGGTATATACAGAAGTATCACGAAACGTTTTTATTATTTTTTGATTATGAAAACAACAAGAAACAGAAGTAAAATTAAAATTTAAATGATATATATAATCCTTTACAATCTATAAGTTTAGCTCTAAGTTATTTATCCAAGCTGTATCATCGTCAATGCAAATCTTCTTACTGTATTAAGGTAAAGGGGTCGTAAGTTTTTGTAGATCATTTAGGGTATTTTTTATACCTTATTAAATTTACTTGAAAAGGTAAAATAATTGATATGGTAGCATGTTTAGATTAGATAAGCCTCCCCCACCTCAGTGGCTCAGTTGTAAGCTTGTGGGCGTATAACACTAAAATCTAGGATCGATACCTTGGTGGGTTCAGTCCACATAGTCCATTGTGTAGCTCTGCGCTTAAACATGAACAATAGATATGATAAATTTCAATTGGTAAAAAATAATACTTCGATTTGTACTTCACAATTTAGAATAATTACCAAGAAAATTGGAGATAAATTTATGACATCTCACAACGTAAACTGGCTGTCGTATTATACTCTCGTTTAAAGTATCATAACGTGGCACTTCTTGTTCAGGAGAGTAAGGGCACACAAGTAACCACCTGTACATATAGTAGGAGATTGGAGAAAATTTGGTCAACAGGTGACCACATGGTTAGTGGCCGCATGTAATGATGAAATTAGAGACCAAATGATCAAGACACAGGTGGAGTAAATACTTAGACATAAGTCTTATTGACAAACTAGGCAGCAATTTATTGTTCCCTTTCCCTTCCTTTTTCTTCTTACCTTAATTCTACGGGACATCAAAATATGTACACAGGACTCAAGCTTTCCAAAACACAGTACATAAAAATATGCATCATTTCAACTATACACCTGGAAAAAAGTTAAGCACCCCCGTGTTTTTTTCAAGTGATTCAGATTCGACGTT